AGAGAGGCTGGCTTTAAGGAGACTGCTGGGAGAGATTTCAATGTACAGCCTGCAGAATGGACCTGCCTGATTCCTGAGTTGAGGGAGGAATTTTGTGGGGGCTACACAGGAGAGAGACCTCAAGCGTGGGGGGCCATCTCCATAAAGCCCATGAAATACCCTTGCAGAGAAATCAGCTTGACCTCCAGCCTCAGGGAGGTGATGCTAGCTTCTAACAGTATCAGGCAAGTACGCATTCCTATCCCGTTCCCCTCTTTCCCCATTGTTCCTCCTTGCAGAGGGCAGAAGCCACAGTTAGCTGGCTGGCTGGGGAAGAGGAGGGAAATCCAGTGGGAAAAGGGAGGGGAAGCCCACCAGACACCCTTCTCAACTGCCATGTTCCCGGGGCTGAGAACTGAGGGGCCCCAAATCAAGTCGTGACATACACAAGACTGAACACTTCACTGACTAGATCACAGCTGCTTGTCTTGTCTGAGCACGGTCAGAAAAGCCACTGGACTGCCCCAGTGTCAGACTTCCGTGGTTGCTGTGAGTTTTAAGGGAGTTAACACCCAACCTGTGCCTAGCACAGTGCCTGGTACACAGGAGGCATGCCATGCCTTTTAGCTTCAATTATTGTTAACAGCCTTATGAGGTCGGTACTATTAGTATTCCCATCTTGCAGATGAGGAAACTGAGCTTAGGACATTCAGTGACAGGCTGCCCCAGAGTCCTAGGCTGAGCCGCCCTGAGCAGCCAGGACTCGTTCTGTGAGCATCTCTGTGAGCGTCTCTGTGCATCACCTTTATTCACGAGGAGCCAGAAGCAACTTTGTTCGCAAGCTCCCCACTCACCTGTGCAATGGGGCCTATGGGCTCTGGGCTGGTGGTTCCCTGTCTGTGAGAGGCTGGGCATTCAGAGGGCACCAGGAGCTTTCTAGCCCCTCGTGCCAGGTGGGGGATAAGCTGCATGGGGAGGGCCGCACCCTCCTGTGATGAGCAGCTCTACCTCTTTCCTTTCCCAGGGATCCCAGGTGCCTGTGTGCCAGTTCCCCTGCTATGCCCTGGGGCTGGGCGGCCTGGACTAACGCCCAGCAAGGGCAGAGGGTACTCACCCGGCTGCCACCGCTGCTGTGCCGCTGCCCGCTCCCCGCTGCCTCTGCTCTCCCTCAGCCTACTCTCCTGAGTTCACACATATTCATGTGAAAGCTTTGCTATTCACGTGGGGCTTGGAAATCCACTCTACTTGTGAGCCACTGCCTCTGGGAAGTTCTCAGGTCTCTCCTGGCTCTGAGGCCTCTGTCTGTAAGGCCCAACTGAGGGAACCGAGGAGGCCGCTCATGGAATCATCTGCCATCAGCCCACAAGGGCCCTGGGAGAACATCTGGATCCCTTCCCACAATTTACAGAAGGGGATACTGAGGGCCAGAGAGGCAAGTGGTCCATGTTAGCATCAGAGCTGGGATGGGGAGCCACACTGGCCTTCATCTTTCTGCCGCTGGGTGGGGGAAACTGAGTAATCAAAGGCCACCTGTCTTTCTTCCATTGGACTTGTCCAATGTTAGATGAGGGGCCAGGGAGCCCACAACTTCCCAATGCAGGGGCAGAGTGTGTGAGCATAGGGGCGAGTGTGTGTGAGAGTATGAGCATGCGCACATGTGAGTGAACACATCTGAGCATGTGTGTGTGCATGTGAGTGTGCATGATGTGGGTGCATGTGTGTGGGTGTGTGAATGCGTGATGGTGGGTGTGAATGTGTGCACACACAAGTGTATGTGTGTAAATGTGAATGTATGTGAGGGTGTGAGTGTGAATGTGTGGATGTGTAGGTGTGTGTTAGTGTGTGTGCATGCATGTGCATGCACATGTGTATGTGGGTGTGTGCGTACACATGTGAGAGTGTAAGGTGTGTGCACACATGTAAGTGTGATTGTGATTGTGTGTGCACACATGTGCCTGTGCACCCATATGTGTGAGACAACATATGGGTGAGTGTGCACACATGCACACTGTACATGTGTGCATATGTACACATGTAAGTGTGTGTACACATACATGAGTGTGTGAATGTGTGTGCATATGTGTATACACATTTATGTGTGTGCATACATGAGTGTGTGTGAATGTGTGCACATGTGTGCGTGAAGACGTTAGTGTGAGTATGCACATAGTGTGATATTGGAGTGGTACATGCATGTGGAACAATTTGTTAATCAGTTTCTGGGTTCCAGTTCTCACCAAAATAGCCCCTGATGCTTCCATACAAAGTCAGGGAGATGATACAGGACCTGAGGGCTCATGATGGCCCAGGGAATGGTCTGGATGCCCCTGGCTGGGCCAGCTTTCAGCTGAACCAGTACCACACCTCTTGTAGCTAGAGATGGAGTCTCTTTTCCCAAATCCTTGAAACTGAGCTGCTTTGTGGCTTCCTTTGCCAATAGAACACAGCAGAAGTGGCCATGTGTCAGGTCTGAGCTGCTTCCGTTCTCCCTTGGAGCTCTGCAACCCCCTTGGACCACTCCTGGACCAGCCTTCAGGAGGATGAGACACCTGGAGCACAGCCAAGCTGGCCCAGTGGTCCCTGCTGAGGCCCTACATATGCAGTCAAGGTCAGCAGGGCCACCTAGCTGACCCTCAGTGAACACAAGCATATGGATGAGTCCCGCCAAGCCCAGATCGGATCAGGAAGGCTGCCCAGCCAACAATAGACTCATCAGCAAAAATAAACGCTTCTTGTGGGTTGCCACTGTGTTTTTACAGAACGTTTATGGCAATAGCTAAGTGTAGCAGTCTGTTTCTTTATGGTCATTGCTCACATCAGCAACCCTGTAGGCCCAGACCAAGCAAGGCATGCTGAACTTTACGAACTAGGAACAGCAGGAGAAAATGGAAATATCCAGGCTCTAAGCCCAGCACTAAGCTCTACCCTCTCCTTGCCTGCTGCTGTGCTATCCCAGCTGATGACCTATTTACCTTCCTTGGTATTGGCTGCCCTAGGCTGAATGATTCTTTCCTTGCTTTTCCTTATGAGAATGCTTGATTCCTTCCTGTTATTTCCCAGTTTTTAGAATAATAGGTGTGTTCTAGCAATCTCCAAAGACGATCACAGGTTTTTTTTTTTTTGAACATGATGAGCCATGTATTTCAATCCATTGCAGGGGTTGTTGCTATTATAATTATTGAGATTGCTATTATTCTTGGTGTTCTAATTCCTTCCTTTTTGGCTATGATTTGTCATTATAAGAGTATTATATACGTGGAATCACCAGTGTACAACACTTTGAGACTGGCTTTTTCACTCATGTCTTTGAAATCCAAATCGTTGTGTGTATTGAAGGAAACCAGATTACGTCACCCCCAAATATGACTCTTTGACATAAAAAGTATTTCAAGCTGAAAGCAATTAAGAAAAAGCAAATGCAGTAAAAGTTCCCTCCATCCTCTTCCTTTTCTGCCTAAAGGCAGGATATAAATTCTCCTTTACTGGAGAAGACTCTAGACTCTAATTAGCCCAGAGATGGCTCCAGAGGAAACTGCAAACCTTACTCCATTAGTTTCTTTCCGTATATTTAACTTCCCACAGTTTCCTGCCTTTGGAAGCCTAAAACTGCTTTCCTTTGTCCTGTCATTTCTCTACAAATCCATTGTTCTTTGTGGATTAGAATCTGCTATGAAAGCAGATTCTAAGCCACTGTTTTGAGTTACTTTTCTTCGAGGTTTTTCCCAGGTGATGTGTGCTGCGTGGGTTAATAAACTGCTTTTCTCTTGTTAACCTGTCTTTTTGTTAAAGAGCCTCAGCTGAAAACCTATTATAGCTTGATTTAGAACTGGATTTTCAACAGTGAGCATACATCAGGAATCATGGAACAAAAATGCACCCTGCACTGTGCCAAGGTTAAACGATACCGAGAGCCAAAGGAAAATTATTTATGAACGAAGAAAAAAAGACATCAATAACAAACAGAAGCGAAGATAGGTAGAGGTAAAGTTTTGCCTCCCCCACAATATCAATAGCTCGTTCCTTTTTACTGCTGAGAAGTATTCTATTGTACGGGTGTAGCACAGTTTGCTTTCCATTACTTATCCACTGAAGGATATTTAGATTGTTTCCAGGTTTTGGTTATTACAAATAAAGCTACTATTCACATTTTGTGTCAAAGTAAGTTTTATTTTCTCTGAGATAAATACCCAGGGGTGAGATTGCTGAGTCATATGGTCAGTGTATACTTTGCTTTATAATGATCAGCCAAGTTGTTTTCCAGAGTAGCAATGCCATTGATATTCTAATAACATCTGAGACCTCCAGTTGCTCTGTGTTTTCACCAGCACTTGGTATTATCAGTATTTTTTATTTCAGCCATTCTAATAGGTGTGTAGTGGTGTTTCACTGCACTGGCTAATGACAATGAACATCTTTTCATATGCTTATTTGCAATCCTATAGTCTCTTTGTCAGAGCTTCTGTTCAAGCCTTTTGTCTAATTTGTAATTAGATTGTTTTCATACTGTTGAGTTTAGACAGCTCTTTATATATTGTGGAAATGTGTCCTTTGTCAGATATATGATTTGCAAATATTTTCTCCTAGGCTATGACTTTTTATCTTAGCAAGATCTTTCACAAAGCAACTGTTTTTTTTTTTTTTTCTTTTTTCTTTTTCTTCATAACATTCTTGGAGTAAAAGCAACTGTTTTTAATTCTAAGTTCAACGTACTGATTTTTCTTTCCCTTTGCTAATTGTATTTTTGGTGTCTTATTTAAAAACTCTTTACCTAACTCTAGGTCACAAAGGTTTTCCTCTACTCCCACACCAGGGAATACTGAACACACTCTACATTGCTCCGCCTTTTCTGTGGGGGAGAACTGTGTCACAGTTAGAGCCGGGGACTGGGCAGAAGTTGGACCTACAAGAATTCCATGGCTGAGGCACTGGTTTAGAACTGGTTTTTTAGCGGTGAGCACACATCAGGAACCATGGAACAAAAATGCACCCTGCACTTCACCAAGGTTAGAAGATACCAAGAACCAAAGGAAAATTATTTATAAATTAAAAAAAAGGCATCAATAACAAAAATGAAGGTTAGGGGTGAAGAGGAGAGGAAATGCTTGTTCATTTCAGTCTGGCAGCAAGGGTAGGGTCATGGGCATGGAAGTTTCAGGGAGGAGGAAAGATACTGCTGCAGTGCATCCTCTTGTCATTAAGACAGGCATCCTATGTCATCTAGCTTTGGGCAAATCAGTTATTTCTTGATATGAGGGTTCAGGGGTACAATGTTGGTGTAGATAGCATTGACAGAATTGGTGGTAGTGTTGGCAGGGCCAGTGGTGGTGTTAACAGGGCCAGTGGTCACATTGACAGGGCTGGTGGTTGCATTGACAGAAACAGTGGTGGCATTGACAGGGCTGGTGGTAGCATTGACAGGAACAGTGGTAGCATTGACAGGGCTGGTGGTAGCATTGACAGGAACAGTGGTAGCATTGACAGGGCTGGTGGTAGCATTGACAGGGCCGGTGGTGGTAGTACTGGATGGGTTGAAACTGAATATGGCTGGAATCCCTGTTGCATTCTGAAAGACAAATGGCATGTGGTCATCACCTTCCTCTGTAGTAAACAGCAAAAAGTGACCAAAAATTCTTCTCCTTCCTCCTTCCATACCCTTAGGTAGACCCTCTCTCCCTGATGCTGGGCTTGGTCATGTGACTTCCTTTGGCCAAGGGGACAACAGTAAATGTGACCGTAAAGTGTTTGCCCATTGGAGATTGCTTTCTCTTGTTGCTCTTTGGAACAGTGAACATAAAGACTGGCCTGACTGCTGGATAATGAAATACAAGTGGCCCAGCTGGCCCTGTTGATTGCCAGCTTGCAAACATCCAGATGCCCATGTGGGACTGCCCAATATCATCCAGCCACTAGGCAACTCACCAACTGACTGCAGACTCATGGCAAGTCCAGCAGGGGTCAGAAGAACTGCCCAGCAGACCCAGGGGATCATGAGCTACATAAGTGGCTGCTGAGTAAGCCATCAAGTTTTAGGGTTGTTTGATACAGGACAAAAGCCAATTGACATGGAAATTGGTAGCTAGAAGTAAGATAACAATCATCCAACACATGCATGGGGTTTGGGACTGGGTGGCAGATGGGGCTGGAGAAGCTGTGAGTAAGCCTCTAGAAAAGGCTGGAAAAATGGTGATCTCACTGCTGGAGGAGGCTGGAAAAGGGGAGAAGAAACTGCCACAGCAGAGTGGAGAAATGATTTCCCATGTTATACAGTGGTGGAGCACTGTTGTATTTTAGAAGACAAAAATACGCATCTAATAGCATTTGGATTTGGCTAAGGAGATCAGGCAGAGTATTGAAAATGTCACTTGGGTGCTCCTGGCTGCATATGATAAAGTGCTGTAAGAAAGTGAGAGGATAAAGAAGGAATGATTTCGTTTGCAAGTGGTATTTAGAGGCAAAGTAGAGGGCCCAGGACTTGATGAGTTAGAAAACAAGATTGTCTCTAACTTCCAAGGTCCTCAAAGGATAAATAACATTCAAAGTAAAACTAGGGCTAAGAACAAAGATCAAAACAAGGATGTGTCTACACAGCCCTTTGTTAAGACCTTTGAAGGCCTAATCAGTGCTTGTTAGATCCTTTCAGATAGACAAAATGCTTCTAAGAACCTTAAAGTATTTGTCTCACAGAAGGCTAATCCCAAAATAGACATTGACAGATTTGGAGAGAAAAGTATGTCTAGAGCAGTCTCATGTGTGGCTCTTATCAGATGGTGAAAGCCATAATCTAATACATAAAACACCCTTGGAGTTTTAAGGGAATTGTATTAGTAACGGGATCACCAACTTGGACCAGATCTGACTGAAATTTCTCAAACTGCAAAAAGACCTTTAGGTCTCACTCTTAATATAGGAATCAGGTTGAAAAAGCAAAATGGAAAATATAGGCCTTTTCTTATGAAAAAAGAAAACATGTTTCTGAGGGTGGAGCCAGGAGTCCAGAGGGTGGGGCCAGGATCCTGGAGAACAATGGATTAGAAAGCTCCTCTCAGGAAGCAGTAGAGAACAGTGGCATGGGCAGAGTCTTCTAGATAGTCAGATTGACTCCTAATCAAGAAACATTCTCTGCCCCCAGGGTAGGACAATACGTGCCCGCATAGGATTTCAGAATTATTATGGAGGAGTGACAATCTTGTGCTTCTGTTCTTTTCCTTATTGAATGGGGAAAGAACAGAATTCTATTTATCCTATTTTTCTCTCACTAAAGTATGTTGGCTATATGGGGGGTGGAACTTGCTTTTAGTTCATAGGTTTCTGAATCAAGAAGAGCAATACCCCCAAATCCTCAGTCACATCTAGATCTGATTTGGATCCTAGTTTTCAAGACTGATGCCATGCCATGATTAGATGGTATGTTTGGGCATCCAAAGTATGGGCTGAGCATGCTTTGCATCCTGAACAACTGTGAGTTAATTGTGGTCAGAGGGAAGCATTGTTGTAGGCTGCAATGCTGGTTACAAATCCTTACATTCATCAGCCTTTGCTGGGTGACCTTGTAGCTCCTCTTATCAAGAGGTAGAGCTGTTGCTCCACTCATGGAATCTGGGTTCAGCGATGTGATTGACTGTGGCCAGTGGGACATTAGCAAATGTGATGCAAGCAGGGACTTAAAGTGGCTGCCTGTGGGGGCTTGCTGTGTCTTGCTACTCTGAGAACCCAGCTCCCCATGAAGAAGCTCATGTGAGCTTACTGGAGGATGAGATAACATGGGGAGCAGAGATGAGCTATTTCACGAAGGACCCTGGAGACCAACGATCCCCAAGCCAAGATTCAAGGGTGAATTCATCTGAGGCCAACAGAAGAGCTACCCACTGACCATAGCTCAAACTGATGATGTGAAGAATGAAGAGCTAAATAATCGGAAGCCACGAAGTTCTGGGGTAGGTTACTATGCAGCAAAACTTAACTGATAGAGCCCCTCTCAGGTCTCATCTCTCCAGATCTCTGGTTACCTCTTGCTACAGCCCACGCCCAATCCCAGAGCATGCTCTGATTATTGGAACAGAGTCCAACACTTACCTCAAATTGTCTGCAGCAGGTGGCCTGGCACCCAAAATATGAGACCACACAAGTGAGGATGAACTCCAGGAGGGCGAAGGGGAGCAGACCACCAAAAATTGTCTTTACATCTACCTAGAGACAGAGAGAAATGGGAGGCTTTTAGTCCTTTGGCTTGACGGTCTAGGTGACAGTCCACATCTGGAGTGCCACACATCTCACCTGGAAGCCCTGAGACCCTCTCTGCACGTGGTTCTTTGGAGCAGATGCTGGGGGCACACATTTTATATGCCCTTGCCTTACCCTTTTAGTCACTGGCCTGACTTCCAACTGCCAGCACCTGTATTCCTTTGCCTCAGGGCTCTCTCTGGCCTCTGGAGCCCATTTTGCTGTTGGCACAGGTTCAAAGTTCCAGGGAATGAGTGCTCCTTGAGAACAGCCCTCTCTCCATGACTGTTAGGGTGTGGTGTATAAATACCCCAGCTCCCTCAGTCCTTAGGTTGGTGTTTGCTTCCTCTCCCAAATAAACTACTTGTCTCAAAGTCTGCTTCTGGGAGGAACCCAAACTGAGACATTTCAACAAGTGCACTGGCTAGGAAACCCTGTGTGAGGTTCTGGGTGCCTCTCCCGGGGCCAGGTGATAGACACCAGCCCGGTCAGGATCATTAGCTCTGCCTGGCTCCTGGGTTTCTCAGCCCTCTTCCAGTATCCCTGCCTCATACTTCCCTTGGCAGGTTGGGATGCGTCCTCGGAGTTTCAAGGGCTTCTGCCAAGACGGAAGTTAAGACAGGATTGAAGGGGCCCCACACAGCTCAGTGTGCTCTGGGCCTGGTCCCTGCCCACAATAAGGTGGGAGAGATCACTGAGCTCCTCTCATCCCTACACACTCTTTCTCTGCAGCAGCAGGTGGGGAGCCTGGGGCTTGGAATGCCTGTTGGACTCCAGTGCCTTCGTGCTACACTATGCTAGTATGCTCTTTGATGACAGAGGCCCTGATTGCCAAATGGCCACCTTTAGGATTTGTAGCTGTTGTGGTCTTGGTTCCGCGTGACCACAATCCACTCCCTGGACATTGTTGGGACATCCTGTTGCATCGTGTTGAACTATAGAGGCCAGCACCTTGCTGCCACATCCCCTAGACACCAAGTTACACCCTGTGCATCAGGGTTCTTCCCGGGGTCTGCAGGGAGCTCTCCCCTTAGGGACTGCCTTCACCTCTGTAGACACGTCTAGTTTAAGACCCTGTGTCCTGCCAGCCTTCCCTTGCCCACTTGGTTAGTCCTGAGAGAGGATCAGATTGCAGCCAGCTGTGGAGCTAGCTACTCTTGATCTTGTTCTTCAGGTCTCCTCCAGTACTGTGTCAATGTTACCGACATCCTTCCCACATTTCCATGCCTGCTGCCTGACTTTCATTTGCGTGGCTTTACCTGAGGGCTTCCTTTGACCACAAGAGACTCCTTTGTCCATGATCATGGCAGACTGGAAGCACTAGGGAATTGATGCCCCTCAGGGGTATTTTTTTGTTTTTTCAAGACAGAGTTTCACTTTTGTTGCTCAGGCTGAAGTGCAGTGGTGTGATCTCAGCTCACTGAAACCACCACTTCTGGGGTTCAAGTGATTCTCCTGCCTCATCCTCTCGAGAAGCTGGGATTGCAGGCACATGTCACCATGCTCAGCTAATTTTTGTATTTTTAGTAGAGATGGGGTTTCACCATGTTGGCCAGGCTGGTCTTGAACTCCTAACCCCAGGCGATCCACCTGCCTTGGCCTCCCAAAATTCTGGGATTACAGGTGTGAGCCGCCGCACCTGGCCAGGGGCAGTTTTTGATCAATAATTGAGGGAAGCTGGTGGATAAATACCCCAGCTCCCTCACTCTAGGACAGGGTACAGCTAAGATGCATGTCATTCTCTGGCTACCAGGTCCCCAGCGGGTTCATCTCCAAAGGCCTTTGCTGGATAACACTTTTATAGTGAGGCTTCCTCCCCTTGCTTGTCTTATTTCTTCCCTCCTCTAGTGAGGTTTCCTAGAATAACCTCTGAAATACACAACTTGCACCTGAATCCTTGTCTTTGCATCTGCATCTGGAGGTCCCTACCGCCCCCCTTCCCCCTCCCCCTGCACCAAAAGACCAGGACTAGCATCAGCACTTCCTGTTTGTGTGAAAGGCTATCCCATAACAGACTCCTAGGGGCAGGTGATCTTGTGAGTCTGAGTGTGGCAGCCATCCAGGCCGCTTACCTGGCCACCTGCTACCTCCAAGCAGAGAACAGGATGAGGAGGGGTCAGCTGGCTGCATCTCTCTGAGTCTCAGCATCCTCACTGTGAAATGAGGTTTATCATGGCCACCTCAGAGGGCACAGGATTTTGTTGAGGGTTAAATAGCTTACAGGCCTGGTGGTTGTCATACTAGGATGGAATTCTGGGGCAATTCCTTTCTGCTCTGGAAGTAACCTTGTAAGCCCTCCTGGCCCTTTGGCAGCATGGGGCCCTGGCAGTCAAATGCTCACCATCTTATAGTCAGTGCACAGATCCACAATGAGAATGAGGATCCCGCCAAGGGACAAGAGTGCGCAGATGACGTTCAGGACGACGCTGGTGCTCACCTGTGGGAGAGGAGGGAGAGGAGAGGGAGCCGAGTGCGAAGAGTCTGAAGCCCAGCTTGTGGGGACTCTTGGGAATTCAGAGAAGAGAGAAGGCAGGGCAGAAAAGAGATGGCCAGGCAGGGTGGAGAAGCCAGTTTATTTCAGCGATAGTGAGGTGAGAAATCATTTTAAATTCATGCTTGTTAAAGTCCAGGTTTGTTCATTTAAGTTCAGGTTTGTTACATGGGTAAACTTGCAGCATGGGGGTTTGTTGTAGAGATTATTTCATCACCCAGGTATTAAGCCTAGTACCTGTTATTGTTTTACCTGATCCTCTCCTTCCTCCAAACCTCCACCCAAAATCATTCCTTAATCAATGTGCAGCATCCTTCTATGGCAGAGACTGGATTTGTTTGGGAAGATTTCTTGCTAAGCAGCAGAGGGTAGGAAATGAGATTCGGAAAGAGATAAGGCAAAGATGCAGGACTGCTCTGCAGAGAAAATGAACAGAGATCCCAAGCTTGAATTGAGGGAAGGGAGTCGGGGAGACTTGGTTTCCATGGTGGAAGGCTGGGGCCCGCTGGTAGGATTGGCTGGGGAAGGTTTTCAGAACCTGAAAGTCTCATATTCAATTTTGAGGGATCTGCTGCTCAGTGTTGAGAGGGTGAAATCATCAAATTATTCATTATCCATCCCCCACTCAAGCTGCTTCCCGTTAAGAGGGTTATGGGGATGAAGACAGAGAAAGGCAAAAGAGAAAGGGACCATGTTCCACATTTGGGCAGGGGCCAGGACAGCTGTAAGATGTACAGAAGTACAAACGGATGTTTCTATATTTCAATAGAAAGTCACACGTCAGAGCAAGAGAGGACTAGGAGACCTCCAGGCGTTGGCAGACACCTTGGAGAGGGCAGTGGACTTCCCAGAGGATTTGAAACTTCCTGGTCCTGTTGGGATATGAAGGGGCGGTGTGAGCTTGATTGATGCTGGGGTGTCTGGAGGACTCTGCTCCTCCTAAAAGGGGTGAAGCAAGGCAGACTATGGGGCCACTGGAGTTTGCCTTGTAGACTGGAGACTGGTAATTGGGAAACCCTCTGTTAGACACCCAGCCCCTAGCTGACCTGCTGCTTTCCCATCAAAAGGCAGAAGAAAGATGACAAGCCACGTAGAGAAAGTGGAGAGGGGGAAGGAGTACCTGAAAAGGAAGGAGATGAGAGAAGGGCCACTGTGGAGCTCTAAACTTATCCCTAAGCTTCTTAGAGGCCACAGCAAAAATCAAAACATGACCAGATACTTTGCTGGATACTGAGCAGAGAATAATGCCCCAAGGGCGCAAGGGAATTCTGGGCCCTGTGCTCTTGGTTGAGACTTTAAATTGTTCAAGGCAGACATTGCTCTCACTCTTCTAGATCCACACAAAGAGGATGGCGGAAAATATCTTAAAGAGATGGTTGAAATGCACACACATATTCGTTTGGCCCGGACCTGGCTTTCTGTTTTTTTCGGAGCATCCATGAGGCACTGCATGTAAATACTCATGAGTTTTCCAAAGAGGTAAGTTTTTGAATAGTAAATGCCATAGGTAAAGAGGAACAGCTTTGGAATCAGAGAGCTCTGGGGTCAAATCCTGGCTCTGCCATGCACTCACTGTACGATCCTAGGCAAACCACCTGACCTCTCTGTTTCCCAATTTTCTCCTCTGAAAAATGGGGATAATAGGACCTCATAGAGTGGTGGGGATTGACTGGAAAAAGGTATCGAAATGCATTGTACCCAGGCCCAGGCCCAGGGCACACCACTACTGTGAGTCCCCTTTCTTCATGTTTGGTAGAGAGTCAAATTCTAACATTCAGGGATCATCAAAGATAGCACTATGACTCACCACACAAGGGCTGGGGTCCTTTGAAGCCCATACTGAGAGGGATCCAGATGTAATGTACTATGACAACAATAACAACAACAAAAAAGAAAAAAGAGAAAAAGAATGACCAATTGTGCAGCATGTTAAAAAAGACAGCTGTCCATTCAGAGATGCATTTCTCAATCTCAATGTTCTGTTCACCTCGTTTCACAAAATGTGCAAATCTGTTTATTTCCTCTTAACATTTTTACTATTCCAATGGTTAGGCACCAAATATACTAAATACCATAATATTCAAACTCCTGTGGGTCTATAGTAACACTTCCCTTTCTCCTAAAAACCTGAATTTTGTCCCAGGATGCTGTAAATCTCATTATTATTATTTTTTGACTGATTCTTCTTGAGTTCTCTGCCTGGACATATCATCGCCCAAATGCATTTATTGCTTATTTGGCCTCACACTGCCCTATCCTTGACTGTGATCTTGGAAAAGCAGGGGCTGAGTAGTGTGGTGGGTAGAGCCTTGGGGCTGGGAGATAGGAGACCTGGGCTATGGCCTCATCTGCTGTGATCCTGGACCCAGCTGGAGGGTCCTCTTTAGCACTTGATGCTGCCAGGCAGGTGATAGAAACGTGAAAGTCAAAAGCAGTAAGAGCTCTGTTCAGTTATGAGAGCCCTGAACTGAGGGGGCCTGAGCTCAGGACCTTCTTCTAGCACTTTCTGGCTATGAGGATGATAAATGCTAGAGGAAGATTTTGAGCTTCAGTCTCCTCATCTGGCAAATGCACATAGATAATGATGCCTGCCCTCTCTATCTACAAGTGGGTCATGCAGTTCAAGTGAGAGAACAAGGGTGGGATTATTGATGGGGAGAATAGGGGCACTCAGCGGTTTTGCTAGTGTTTTCTGTGCCCATGAAACATTAACTCCCCATTACCCCCTTACCCTGGCCCCTGCCAACCACCATGCTGCTTTCTGTCTTTGTGAATTTCACTACCCTAGAGACCTCATCTGAGTGGAATCATACACGTGAGTGTTCAACTTATTATTATTATTTAAGCTCTGCAAGATGATATACACTTAATGGCATGCTGGTAAATGATTAACATCTGCCTTATGAGGTGGCAGCAGTGCAGGGAAGGGCCCTGATTTGGAGCATGTGTTGATTTCTGTGTCATGTGTATACCCAACATGGGTAACTTCCTGCTACCAAATGGTTTGACAATCATTTTACATAATTCCTGGACATTTTACAATCGACTCTTATGACTGGTGGGTAGGAAGATGCTGTCTATAGCACACAACTTTACATACTCTGAGTTACCTATGAGATATTTTTTTTTTTCTTTGAGACAGGCTCTCACTCTGTCACCCTGGCTGGGGTACAGTGGTGTGATCATGGCTCACTGCAGCCTCCACCTCTTGGGCTCAGGTGGTCCTCCCACCTCAGCATCCCAAAGACCTGGGACTACAGGCGCATGCCACCACACCCAGCTAATTTTTTTGTGTTTTTGTAGCAACAGGGGTCTCACCATGTTGCCCAGGCTGATCTCAAACTCCTGGCCGCAAGTGATTCACCTACCCAGAGGCTGGGTGGGGGGTATGGGAGATGGGGAGGGTGGCAGTGGGAGGGAGTGCTGCTGAGGCAGGGAGATGGAAGGGTAGTTGGATCTTTAACCCTCTGGGGTATCTGCAGGTAGGTGGCTGGCTCTAGTCTATGGGGTCATACTACTGGGAATGGGATTCCATGCTCCTTCTTCCTCCACTCCCTTCTTGTCCCAGTCTAGTGACCCAGGAAGGAGACCATATGGCCTTGTACTCACGAATAGTCCTCCCCAGAGTGGGTACCCTGAAAGCCCAGTTGCAGTATAACATGGCATCACAAAAGTACAGCGATACAGCACAGGGTTAATTGCAAAGAAAATGTGCGTCAGGCCGATGAGGATCTGGATGGCCTGCCAGGGAAAACAAATCAGTATGAGAGAGCGGAACTGGGGGCCTGTGAGCTGTGGAGCTGTGCTTCCCACCCTGGCTGCACCCCAGAATCACCCCAGGCATGACTGGTGTTGGGGCTCATCCCAGACCAACTGGATAAAAATCTCTGAGGGTGGGGTCCATGCCTGGGTGTGTTTTAAAAACTTCATAGGTGATGTGAATGTGCACTCAGGCTGAGAACCACAGGCATAAAGGAAAGGTAAGGCTGCCTATAACAGAGCAAGAAATGTCTTCCCTTCAGACTGAGCCCACAGGTATTGCAGAGACATGGGCTGAGCCCGGGTTCTGGCGGAAAACCACCTGGGCTCTCATCCTGGCTGCAGCACTGGCCGGTTGTGTGGTCTCCAGCAGATATTTTCTCTGCCTCAGAGTTTCCTTATTTGCAGAAAAACTGCAAATGTCAAATCCTAGAAAACGTAACATTCTTATGTGTGATGCTAACATCGTTTTCAAGTAGTTGTTGGCCAAAATTTACTTGATGAATCTGATTTTTCCAAAATAGATGATTCTGATGATTCAGATGTTTCCGATGTTGGTTCTGTTTAGAAATAACTCAAAGAGCGGTTTTTATATTTTATTTTCACACCGAAAATCAGCCAGATTTGCTTCAGCCTCAAGAACATGTTCATGAGAGGTTATATATTTGCAAGATTGGGATAACAGTATCCAGCCTGCAGGGCTGTGGTAGAGATTAAACGTGTGCCCGTGAAACTCGTAGCTCAGTTCCTAGCACGTAGTAGGTGTTTCAATGCCCTCTGCTGACACCATTCTTCTTCCCGGTACAAATACTCTCTTTGTGGCCTTCTCTATGATGTGCCCATGGTTCCCCTTGGCAATGTACACGCCGGGGACCCTCTGTTCCCTGCAAGTCCTGTGTTTTTCCCCCTTTTTCCTCCCTGATTTTCTTCCCTCCTTTTTCTCCCCTGTTGCCACTGTCTGAAATCTGCTTGCTTTACTCTTGTCCTATTGAAATCCAATCTTTTCCTTAAGGATCAGAGAGATTCTTTTTCTGACCCCACATGTAGCATGAATTCCTTCTCATTTGGGGCTCCTACAGTGTTTACCACTGGCTTCTCTGGGCCTCGGTTTCCTCAGGGGTCAAATGACCACCGTAGGGCAGCCACTTTCTGCCCTCCTGGTCCCTGAGTCTATGAATTGGTGACAGACCTGGGTTTCATATGAACGTCCCTTCCTAAGATGACATGCTTGATTGTGTCTACAGGCCCACTTTATCAGTATGTTAATTAACCCCTTTGCCATTTAGAAAAAAAAATAGTGCTGCTTACTGCCAGAACTCATTTAATTTTACATAAACACACTCTTGAGGCTAAAGCAAATCTGGCTGATTTTCAGTGTGAAAATAAATTACAAAAACGGCTCTTCGAGTGATTTCTAAACAGAACTAACATCAGAATTGTCTATTTCGGAAAAATTGGATTCACCAATTGAATCTTTGGCCAACAACTGATTGAGAACTATGTTAACACTATGCGTGGAAATGCTACATTTTTTAGGATTTGACATTTTCAGCAATTAAGAATTACTGTATTTTGTACAGTATGCTATAAATAAACAGAATGCTCTAAATAGAATGATGTCTCTTGTTTCCAAGGTTGATATACTAGAGCAATGCGACAATAGTAATAAAAGTGAGATATTACATGGCAAAATTATCTTGGGGTAAATACTGCAGCTGCCAATGCTGCCGGTGAGTATTCTTGGGGCAAACAGGGAAAGGGTTAAGAGGCAGGCATACGTAGTTTCCTTCCCAAAACAAAACTGTAATTGGCTAAAGAGAGTCCACATTTTTGGCTTTTTTTCTTTTCATTTTGCTTGACCTGGTTCCCCAGACATTTGCTCTGACTTAATTCTGTTTTGACAAATTTTCAAATCCTTCCGAAATATCTTAGAATAACTAGGAGCCAAAATTAACAAGCCTTTACCCAGTATTAATTAATAAGAAGGATAGTCATTGTAATACATGATTATAATTACTATGCAATATCATAGACCAGCTTTACCTTTTGGAGGATTTCCACACACATTTATAGTCTCACTTGATGCTCATGACCAGGATTTCTATTCCTGACTGCTTTTTTATAGAATTTAGTTCACGATTTGATTTTGATTTGTTTGGGAGGCAAAGAACACCTTGTTTCTGGTACAATCTACTTGTCTACAAGGATCCTGGATTAAATAAGGAGGGATGAGTTGGGATGTTCGTAAGTCTGTCCCCTTTCTGAACCTGTCCTTGTCCTCCTTCCTCCAGGAAGGAGTTTGTAACCTCTCAAAGAAGCCAGACAGTTTGCATCCTGGGCACCCCCAATAACTTGTTCATGTGTCTCACGGCTGTTTCCAGAAGGTATGGTAATTACGACAGCCGCCAAGAACAAAGACCCTCCTTGGTCTTCATGGATGGCATCTTGGTTATCTCTGAGTCTCCAGCTCCTTGCAGGGTGCCCGCCGTGGCGAATGGATGCATGCATACCGTATGGGCACCTGTGACATGCCAGTCTCCATGCTAGGAGTTGGCCGAGCATTCAGTGGGATCTGGCTTCTGCCTCAAAAACAGAATCAAATTGAGCTTTGCAAGATGTGAAATAAATCTAGAGGAGTCAGGAAAGAGGCAGGGGCCCCCTTGATTAAAAAGGAAATTACAAACCCTCAGAGCTAGAGGGAATTTAAGAAAGCTAGATCTTCTTATTGTAAAGATGAGGAAATGGAGGCCCAGAGTGGGAAGAGACGTCTACAAGTCTGCTCAGCAAATCTAGCTGGACTGAGCCCTGCATTGCCTGATTCCTTGGTCAGTGGTCTTTTTAGCAGAACTGTTGCTGACCCATGCCCCTGAGAGCTAGCCAGGAACGGCCGGTCATTGATTATTCAGCCTCTTCCAAAGACCATGGGTCTCCTTGAGGAGTGGGAGGAAGACAGGGAAGAGGGGCCGGCATCTGGGGGATTGTGCTGGGTGCAGCCTCCAGAAATCGCCCCCCATACTCACTCCTTCTGCCCTTTGCCCTCTCAACATTTCCCTTCCTCATCCCAGAGCAGTAGACCTGGGCTTACGAAGTGACCCAAATTGGAGAGAAGAAGAAATCACACTCACCCCTAATGTTCTGATCTCCTCATTTACGAATTTCTTGGGATCAAATGCAGTAAATGATGAAAATGACACGTTCCATTGGAACGAGTTTGAAGTGGGTGTCAGCCCAGGGTTAGCATTCAGAGGATTCTGAGGGTCTCCAGGCCGTGTCTGGAAATTCGTCATTCCCTGTGCATACTGGATCACCCCAGGTGCAGTCTGCAAACTGGCTGCTCCCACCGGATACTGTTGCTGATACCCAATGGATTGACTCTGTGCACCTGCTACTGGTTTCTGGTTCACCACGAATTGGTTCTGTAAGTTTGCTGTTCCTGTAGCATGCTGGATTACTTTTGGTAAGATTGGGTAAGTGGTCACCCTTGAAGGCTGCACGTGATTTCCAGAGGCCACAGAGTTGCTGGGCTGGTTGACATGAACATTACCTGAGGCAGTAATGGCAGGCACACTGTTGACTACAATCACCTGTTCCATCATGGGGTACAACTGCTGCAAAACACATAAGAAGGTTCATTTCCCTCTTCTGACAAAATGAATAATGCATCTTATCTCATTCTTACTGTTAGTCTCATTTCATCAAAATAAGAATCACCTACCATGGTACAGACAAAATAAACTTCTGGCCTTTCCTGTAGTCTGTGTTCTTGGAACATGCTGTTTTCCTTTAATGGGTTTGGATTTGCAAGACTAGGTTTCCTGAGGCTACTTAGCTCCTCGTAGACCCTTTGTTCACAATCTGGGTGGTGGCTTTGCTTAGCCCTCTGCAGTGGGCATTTTATTTTTTATTTTTATTTATTTATTTATTTATTTTAAGAGCACAACACATTTTGGTCACTTTATTAAATGACATTAAATAGTTTAATTTTCAACTACTGAACAGCACTTTGAATGGTGAAAACAGAGATAGTATATTGTCATACTTGAATGCTTTTCTTTAAAAACACAATTCCAGTCCTTATATATATTACGAAACAGCCTTAAAGGAAGAAGCGACATCTTTTCTACAGTACTTAAGATACTCAATAGAACCGAAAAGCAGTCTAACAGGAACAAAGGCAAGTCTTCACAGCTGTATGATTTCAGCAGCCAAAGCTGGATGATGGACTGAAACATTACTATACAACTGGGACAAAACATATACGGTATCACAATACTAAGCAAAAACGCTTTACACCCGAAGAAATAAAACAGGTTACAAAATGTGGAGAATTTAGCAGGCAAAACTGTATTACAAGCAATCTGCCTGCCTCAAGTTTGTTGAGTGGGCACAGGCTACCTCCCCAACTTGCCCCCTGCCCTGGCCACAGCTGATTGATCTGGAGGTGAAAAACTGACCCCAAATGCTCTGGTAACTTCTTCCTCTTGGGTATTTGGAATTGGACCCAAGGACTACTGTGGGATGGGAGGCTCTGCAGAGCTGGAGGGGTCACTCTTACGCTGTATGCAGGGGCAGCAGAGAACACCAGTTGGCAGAGTGAAGAGAATAAAGCTGAGAAGTGTTGGGGGAGGGAGAGATAAAAGAAGAGGAGAGAGGGAGAAAGAGAGGGAAAGGAAGGGGGGAAAGAGAGAAGGAGGGAGGAAGATAGATACAGACACAGGCAGAAAGACACACATACACACACACACACACACACACACACACTACCTTGGTCCTTGATGCTCTTTTTAAAAATTTTTTGTTTTATTTTATTTTTATTATACTTTAAGTTCTGGGGTACATGTGCAGTTCATGCAGGATTGTTACATAGGTATACACATGCCATGGTGGTTTGCTGCATCCATCCCCCTGTCATCTACATTAGATATTTCTCCTAATGTTATCCCTCCCCAATACCCCCACCCCCTGCTATCCCTTCCCTAGCCACCCACCCCCGATAGGCCCCAGTGTGTGATGTTCCCCTTCCTGTGTCCATGTGTTCTCATTGTTTAACACCCACTTATGAGTGAGAACATGCGGGGTTTGCTTTCCTGTTCTTGGATCAGTTTGCTGAGAATGATGGTTTCCAGCTTCATCCATGTCCCTGCAAAGGGCGTGAACGTACCCTTTTTAATGGTTACATAGTGGTTCCAGGTTCTCATTTGCCCCAGCTTTACTTCTGTTTTTGAAGTCTCTAACTACTTAGCTCACTTATGGTTTAATTTAATTAAGGTTTTTTTGTGTGTGTATGATTTTTCAACATTAATTGGTTTCAGAGTGAAAAAACCGACTGTCTTTCCCAGGCTTCCTGGGTGCCCTTGACATCCCAGGAAGGATCATGGACCAAGTGGCCTGGGAATGACCATCTTTTTCCATCTCTTCATGGATCTTGTCCATGTTGGTGTTGGGATTAAGACGATGTAGAAATTTTGCTGCATTTTCCTTGTATTTAAACCGTTATCATTAAGGCCCAGGGTACTAGAGAATATGAGAGTGATCAAACCCTTAATAGCCTGCAGTTTCTACTGAATCTTGAGCATTAGAAAAAGTTGAGAAGGGAATCACTTGGTGAGAGACCTGGGATATTGACCTGATTTGATAAGGACTGATAAGCTGGACTTAGAGATTAATTAATTTTTTGATACTGGTGAGCAAGTGTGCAATGGGAGGAGGTAGGCATGTGGCCCTCAGAACACTGTAGATGTTATTAGATGGAAAGATATCCCATTCAGATGAGAGGTAAGGTTACTTGTGTACTTTACCTGTTAATTGTTGTGGCTGGTGGTCTTATCTCTCTACTGGCAAGGCACCAGAACCTATGGTAGAAAATAATGTGTGCAGGAACCCAGAAGTATGTTCTCAGGGGGCTTTCTGTCCTCTCCAAATCACAAGTCTAAATTGACCCCCTGTCCCAACTGCACCCCGAGAGAAACACTACAAATTGTCAACAGTCATCTTGAGTCTGGTGCTAGCTGATGGATTGGCACTATTTAATATTAATCATCTAGAAAGTAAACTCAAAGGCAAGACAGTATCAGGGTTAAGATTTCAGACAGCCCTAAGTCCGCTTCTCAGCTCCTTCATTTATTAGTTGTACGACCTTGAGCAAGTTGCATATGCTCTCAGTTTCTTATCTCTAAAAGATGCATAGTTATAGCACATTGTCCAAAGGGTGTTTTGAAGATTAAGTGAGAAAACTGGTAGCATGGAATGTGGCACAGAGGAAGAGGAGACAGTTAATATTTGTTCTTGTTGAAAGGAAAAGACAACCCATAAGAGAAGGGCCATTGTTTAGCAAAGTCTTGGAACCAACCCAAATGCCCATCAACAATAGACTGGATAAAGAAAATGTGGCTATATACACCATGGAATACTATGCAGCCATAAAAAAGAATGAGTTCATGTCCTTTGCAGGGACACAGATGAAACTGGAAACCATCATTCTCAGCAAATTAACACAAGAACAGAAAACCAAACACCTCATGTTCTCATTCATAAGTGGGAGTTGAACAATGAGAACACACGGACACAGGTAGGGGAACATCACACACTGGGGCCTGTCAGGGGGCGGGGGCTAGGGGAGGGAGAGCATTAGGACAAATACCTAAAGCATAGGGGGCTTAAAACCTAGCTGATGGGTTGATAGGTGCAGCAAACCACCACGGCACACGTATACCTATGTAACAAACCTGCACGTTCTGCACATGTATCCCAGAACTTAAAGTAAAAATAAAATAAATAAAATAAAATAAATAAAACAAAATAATAAAATAAAAGTAAAACATGTCACCTCAATCTTAAAAAAAAGAGAAGGACCATTGTTTTGAATATTTTTCCTCATTGACCTCAAGCTATTTTGATTTAGTATTAATATTGGTGGATCTTAAAGTGTGGTCTCTGGATCAGCAGTATCATTATCACTGGGAGCTTGTGGCAAAGGCAAATTCTTGGTCCGCTCCCCAGAACTACCAGAAAGTCCAGGGGCAGGGATCAGCAATCTGAGTTTCAACGCGCCCTCCAGGTGATCCTCTTGCTGCTGAAGTTTGAGAGCCACTTCCATGCAGACGTGCCCTACACTTCTCCATTGTGGTTTCACTTCTCTTCCCTTGGATCCCAACAGTTAAAAATATTGGTTATACAGAGCTTCAGGAAATTCCTAGCTTTTTCCTTATTTTAAAATCTAGCTAGTCTCTGAGGCCCCTTTCCACGCCACTCATCCACAGGAAAAACAACTGTCACTGGTAGCTAAGGCATTCACCCCCTCTTCTCACTCATTTTGATCCGACTCGCCTCTTTGCAAAGTAGGGAGAACAAGGCTCTGAAAGTGGAATAGCTTGCCTACAATTATGCAACTCACAGGAGTAGATCTGAGACTCAAATTTACTTATTTCTGGCTACTATTTGCATTTCACTATGCTTTTATTTCCCAGAAGAAATGTTCTATCTGCTAGGTGACATATGGATGGTGGAATGTCCAGCTGCATGAACAGACAATCTGCAGGCAGTGTGAGCCACTTCTGCCTTAGACCTTGACATTCCTTGCTTTCTTGAAGGAATAATAGGTTTCCTAATAGAGTCATTTAAAATAATAACAACAGCATCCTTGGATATTGATGAGTCACAACCCTGTAGCGATGAGGCAGTTCCCCCAGCAATACATTATTGTTACTACCATATTTCAGACAAACTATCTGAGGTGCAGAGAGGTTAAGTACATTGACCATAGTCACACAGCTAGGAAATGCTGAAGTTGAGATTTGAATTCTGAGAATTGAAAGTCTGCCTGCCTTCAATTTTCATAAGAATACTGTGCTAAATGTTATACTCTGCTTCATGATATTAAAAAATATATTATTTCTATCTTCCTTTTTTTCAGAGCAGGACTCCTCCTTCAACGTGTGAAAAACACATTGAAAATACAACTGTAGACCCGACACTTGGCACAAACAGCTGGGCCCTGTGAGGGATGCTCCTGGGACCCCTACGGTTCTACCTCCTGTAAGGAAAACGTTGGGACAAAGAAAGTGGTTAAGTGGTTCCGTCAGAAGCCATTCTACCAGTTCTAGACTGAGGTCCTAAGTGTGCTGATCACAGTGTGCCTACAGCTGGGCTCAGGGATCAGGGCAGCCAGAGGATGCCTTGCAGAGTCTCCAGTCTTCTATCTTAAGACTGCTGTGTCTATGGAGGAGCTCAATTTAGGAACCTGTCGTGACTCTTCAATTACTTCCCAGCCTCCCAGTGCCTCCAAGGATGGGTTGCTGCATGCCTGTCTTGCTGGAGAGCACTATTCTATGTCTGAACCCCTGATTCCTTGCAGTTACCAAGAGACACTTCCCAGGGACTGCCTAGGTCCATGTCTCTGCTGGCGCTACCCAGGCTCTGTCAGAATCTTTCAAGAGAATTCACAGAAGTCTTACCTTGTGGTCCTGGGAAGGCACTGAATGTTCTTTCTTCAGGCTCTGTGGGTTTCTGCAGCCTGGTCTAGAAATTCTGGTACTAGCTAATGGACTGGCCCTATTGAATACTAATTATCTAGAAAATAAACTCAACTTAGGTTTCTCTTTCAAGTTCCAAAGTCTTCTTTGCAGTTTCGTTTGCAGTCACTACATCTATTTTCTGGCATCCGCGCTGAGTTTATTTGCCCCTCAGAACATTTATGCCCTTGTCTAAAGTAGGATTCCATGGGAATTCCTTCCAAAGTCTTTCTTTGAGAAAGTGAGAAATCCAGAAGTGGGTCATTAAGATTTGGTAAGCCAATAGATTTCCCTTAGAAGCCATTAGTGAGCATTTATGGCGTGTCTGGTGGATGCTGGGTGGTATGCTAGGATACAAGTTGCTCTAGAATTTACAAGGAGTTGACGAGAAAGAATATAACCACTGTTGGGTTAATTCTAGTACCAGTATGGATAGGAGCAAACAAATATTCAGACCATCAGTGATGAGGCAGTTGGGAGATGTGTCAGAGGGCTGCGGTGGTCCTGGAGCTTTGTCGAGTGGCTGGACGTGGAACTAGACCTCTAACTCAAGTTGGATATTGAAAGAAGGACTGGATCAAAGCTGCACAGGAGGCACAGTGTATTCCAGAAGAGTGAGAACCAGAGGCGTGGGGGCATGTCCAGATCCATCCCACCCTCCAACACTCATCCTGAAGCCTCTTCCTCCACAAAGCCTTCCCTGAGCTTCCCAGTCAAACTAAATCTCTTTGAAACCCAAATGTGAGCTGCCTGCTCTGTGTGTGTGTGTGTGTGTGTGTGTGTGTGTGTGTGTATCTCCAGTTTTTCCAGCCTTATAGGACTACCCTTTCTCGTGTCCATGGACTGGCTAAAGACCCCATCACCACCACCATATGCTTTCTTTTTGTCCTGTGACCAGAACTGTGGACATCACAGGATGCGGTGGCAAAAGGGCATGGGATCTGGGGTGAGAAGACACGGATTAAAATCCAGCTCTACCATTTACTGGCAGTGCACGCTTGGGCAAATTACTTAACCTCTCTGAGCCCCATATTTTTCATATTTCTGTTTCCTAAAACATAGATAACGTCACTCTATATTGTTGCAATACAAAATGAGATCATGCAGCTGAAAGGTGTGAAAGCAAACTAAATATGGCCTGAGATGGACTCCCTATTTGTATATTTGAGTCCTTGTGGATGAACTGTAACCTAGCTTAATAGTCAGACAAAACTGAAAACCTAACTTAATAGTATGCACCAGTAACAATAGCTGAGTGTTGGCCAATCCCAGCAGACATACTTCAACCACTCATAGACTGCCGAGTGTTCAAACTGGGTTCAAATAAGGCAAATGAGGAGCTGTAACCAATCTTGCTGTTTCTGTACCTCACTGCGGATGCCTGTACACTGCTTTTCCTTTTTGTCTATAAATTTGTTCTGACCACGAGGCACTCATGAAATCTCCGTGAATCTGCCGTGATTCTGGGGGCTGCCTGCTTCGCAAATCATTCATTGCTCAAATAAACTCCTTTAAATTTAATTTGGCTTAAGTTTTTCTTTTATCAAAGGACATTGAACAGAATAAGTTGGTAGACATTAACGACTCAATAAGTGTTAATTACTTCTTTCTTTTTTTCATAAGATTATGTTCATTTGACAGGCATTTATTGAGCACTACAGCCCTGTGGCCGGCACGCTGGCAGTGTTCAGTAGTGGAGATGGGGAGTGCTCAATTGCATGATGCCTCTGGCAGTCTGTGGACTTGCCCACTGGGTTGTCCTTCATGGCATTTTATTACCCTCTTACCTGGGTGAAGTTGAATGTTGCTGCTTCTGCCTTTATTGCCCTCTGTATCTCTATAGTTGCTATTGACTCCTGGTTACTGATTTAACTTTATGAGACATAGAAAGTGCAACTGATACGAGCCTTGCTGGAGTGAGAAGGGGGAGAAGTTTGACCAAAGAGAACATGAGAGATGCAGCCTACCAGAGACTGCAGCGAGGGATGGGCTGAGACAGAGTCTTACCTAATAGTCTGATTATTCAAGTCTGAAGGTGAAGGGTCATCTTTTTTTTGGTTTTGTTTTAATCTCCCACATGAAAACTTGTCATAGTTCATTCTTAGGAAGAGCCTCTCAGTACACTTGTCTATAGATAGCATGGGCCGTCTCTGTAAACACCATCAAAATATACGCCATCATGTTAGGAGGTTCTTGAAATGAGAAAAACAGGCATTTGAGAAGATGCTGTGGAGCAATTGTTCTCAAACTTGAGAGTGCATCAGAATCACCCAGTAGGAGCCGGGTGCAGTGGCTCACACCTGTAATCCCAGCACTTGAGAGGCTGAGGCAGGTGGATCACCAGGTCAAGAGATTGAGATCATCCTGGCCAACATGGTAAAACCCTGTCTCTACTAAAAATATAGAAATTAGCTGGGTGTGGTGGCACGCACTTGTAGTTCCAGCTACTTGAGGGCTGAGGCAGGAGAATGGCTTGAACCCCGGAGGCAGGGGTTGCATGCAGTGAGCCGAGATCGTGCCACTGCACTCTAGCCTGGTGACAGAGCGAGACTCCGTCTCAAAAACAAAAAGCAAACAACAACAACAACAAAACACTCAGCAGGCTTGTTCAAAAACAGATTGCTGGATCCTGTCCCCAGAGTTGCTAATTCAGTAAGCCTGGGATGGGGTCAAATAATTTGCAAGTCTAACAGGTTCCCAGGTGATATTAATATTATAAATCCAGGGGAAATTATAGAGGATACTCAAGCATTAATTGGAGGTTACAGTATGTTATCTTTAAGTTCCTGGCTACCTCGGAAATTCTATGTTTATGTAAGTTGTGAACCCAAAATATCTGAGACAGGCCTCAAGCAATCTAGAAAGTTTATTTTGCCAAGGTTAAGGACGTGCCTGTGACACAGCCTCTGAAGGTCCTGAGGACATGTGCCCAAGGTGGTCGGGACACAGCTTGGTTTTATACATTTTAGGGGTACATGAGACATTAATCAATATGTGTGAGACACATTGGCTTGGTCCTGAAAGGCAGGATAACTCGAGGTGGGGGCTTCCAGGTCACAGGTAGATAAGAAACAAATGGTTACATTATTTTTTTTTCCCCCCAGGATGGTGTCTTGTTCTGTCACCCAGGCTGGAGTGCAGTGGAAGGATCTCAACTTACTGCAACCTACAGCTCCCGGTTACAGCGATTCTCCTGCCCCTCAGCCTCTGAAGGAGCTGGGGTTACAGGTGCGCACCACCATGCCCAGCTAATTTTTGTCTTTTTAGTAGGGACAGCGTTTTACCACGTAGGCCAGGCCGGTCTTGAGCTCCTGACCTCATGGTCCGCCTGCCTCGGCTTCCCAAAGTGTTGGAATTACAGGTGTGAGCCACAGCGCCCGGCCAAACGGCTGCATTCTTTTGAGTCTCTGATTAGCCTTTCACTGAATACACAATTTAGGGTAGAGGAAATAGTCACTTATGCCTTAGTCTGGCTTAGTGAAACAACAGGGTAGAGAAAGCCATCAGATGTGCATTTGTCTCAGGTGAGCAGAGGCATGACTTTGAGTTCTGCTGTCCTTTGTCCAAGAGGAATTTCCTTGTGGGCAAGTTGTGAGGGGGATATGTGGCTTTTTAATCTCTGTAGCTGTCTTCTTTAGGAATAAAATGGGAGGCAGGTTTGCCTGACTCAGTTCCTAGCTTGGCTTTTCCCTTGGCTTAGTGATTTGGGGGCCCCAAGTCTTCCTTTCACAAAGGTCTTGAGGGACATATTACTAAAATCTTGGTTTTTATATTTCAGCCTTCTCCATCTAAGTAAAGGACTGTCAACCAGTTACCTGAACCAGAAACCTTGTCCTCAATTTGCCCCTCTTCCTCAGCTTCCTCTATCCGGTCCAATCCATCCATGAGTCCTAGCATTGCCAGCTCTAAATCATGTCCCACAGCTGCCTCTTGGTGTCCACTGTCACTCCCTGGTCCAGATGTTCAGCGCCTGTGCCCTGAGCATCACCTCCCTGT